GAGCCTACTTTTAAAAATAAAAACATGTTGGGGCGCCTGGGTGGCTCAGGTCATGATTTCACGGTTCACAAGTTTTGAGCCCTGTGTCGGACTCTGTGTTGACAGCTCAGAGCCTGGAGCCTGCTCTGGATTCTGTGTCTCCCTCTCTCTCTACCCATCCCCTGGCTCATGCTCTGTCTCTCTCTCCCTCTCAAAAATAAATAAACATTACAAAAATTTTTTTAAATAAAAAAAAAAACATGTTTATAAAAAAATGCAAATTTGAGATGCGCTGTTTTTGTCTATCAGATTGAAAAAAGACCAAGAAAGCCCACCATGACATCACAATACTCATGTAGAATGTTTACTGTGACACAGTAGTCCCAAAATTTATCCTAAGGAAATCAATGGACAATAGTACAAAGAGGTATGAGGATGTTTACAATACTGTTGTTGTAATATGGAATCAACCTAAGTTAATAAGGTACTGGTTAAATGAATTATGGCACATTCATAAAATGGAATACAGGCATACCTCATTTTATGCTTTATTTGTACTTTGCTTAATTGTACTTTGCTTTATTTTGCTTTGTTGTACTTGGTGGACATTCCTTTTTTACAAATTGAAGGTATGTGGTAACCATGTGTTGGGCAAGTCTATCAGCATCATTTTCCCAACAGCATTTGCTCACCTTGTGTCTGTGGTTCACATTTTGGTAATCATGTATTTCAAACTTTTCCTACTTTGTTATGATGATCTGTGATCAGTGACTATGACTTGTTGAAAGCTCAGATGATGGTTAGCATTTTTCAGCAATGAAATATTTAAATTTTTAAAAAAATATTTATTTACTTTTGAGAGAGAGAGAGAGACAGAGCATGAGCAGGGAAGAAGTAGAGAGAGAGGGAGACACAGAATCCGAAGTAGGCTCCAGGCTCTCAGCTGCCAGCACAGAGCCTGACATGGGGCTTGAACCATGAGCCGTGAGATTGTGAGTTGAGCCAAAGTCGGATACGTAACTGACTAGGCACTCAGCAATGAAATATTTTACAGTACGAACATTAATTTTTATTTAACTTATTTTTATTATTTATTTACACATTTTTTTTAGGTATGATGTTATCACATCACACACCTGATAGGTTATAACTTGTATATGTACTGAGAAACCAAAAAACAAAACCAAAACCAAAAAACCCTCCATGACTCGCTTTATTGAGATACTCGCTTTATCGCAGAGGTCTGGAACTGAATTCATAGTATCTCTGAGGTGTGCTTGTACTGTGCAGCCATTTAAATAGTTTATATCTCGGGCGCCTGGGTGACTCAGTCAATTAAGTGTCCGACTCTTGATTTCGGCTCAGGTCACAATCTCATGGTTCATGGGTTCCAGCCTGGTGTTGGGCTCTGCTCTGTGTCAGTGCGGAGCCTGCTTGGAATTGTCTCTCCCTCCCTCTCTACCCCTACCCCACCATACTCTCTCTCTCTCTCTCTCAAAATAAATAAACTTAAGAAAAAAAAAAAGATTTATATCTCAGGGCACCCGGGTGGCTCAGGGTTAAGCGTCGGACTCTTGATTTTGGCTCAGGTCATGATCTCACTGTTTGTGAGTTTGAGCCTCCTGTGGGGATTTGCACTGTCAATGCAGAGCCTGCTTGGGATTCTGTCTTTCCCTCTCTCTCTGCCCCCTTCCTGCCCACCCTCCTGTGCATGTGTGCACTGTCAAAATGAATAAAATAAGCTAAAAGTAAATAAATAAATGGTTTATATCTCT